GGTTAGAATAAATTCCAATGTTATGCTTAAAGCAACTTGAAAACCAAGTGATACCTGACAATCCAAACCGTCTGTTGGGGCTGGTTTATGGAATTCTGATTTAGCAGGTGGGAAGTTAGTGTAACCGATTAGACAGAAAAGACATCCATTTAGGTTGGACATCGAACAACACCCTATCGCTTTTCCATCGCATCGCTTTATGAGTTTATGCCTATTCCTAAGTTACTGTCATTTTTCTGCCTTTAAACTCGCTAAGTTGGAGAAGTGTTTTCGTTTGATGTTGTTTAGTACTGATTAGAAACATTTCGATATACTGAATGTGCATTTAAAAAACACTTCTGTGACTGTAATTCGAAAAAGTAAATTCAAACAAGACTTTTTGTTTGAGCGAATGTATTCGCCTTTAGAAAAGTTGTATTTGAATTATATATATTTTATTTCAAGTAAAGTAAAAGTGACGAGTTCCAGTGCTTTCTCTCTTCGCTTTTAAACCTTAACCACTTTCAAAAGGAACTTGATTTTAGCGCTGAACGGAATGTTCACAGCACACAGAATTAGCTGTTACGTTTGAAGAGAAGAGAATAGAAGGGAAAGGAACCTCAGCAACTGTCTGTTTTCCACATGTTTGTAGTTAACAATGACTGTAGTTCTAGCCAAATGCTTCGTGTTTTAAAATAAAATTTTTAGAATAATGGTTGTTGAATTCTTATAACTTAGTTATTTAGCTATTCCAGTGACAGAAATATTTGAGCAATATCAGCTTAACAACAGAAATCTGGAAAAAATAGTTTTCAACTCCCGTGAGTCTAGTCACGAAGACTGGAATCAAAAGTATTCGCCCTGAAGATCGGTCAACCGACGTGGTATGACAGAGTACGTTTAAGGATAATTATCGGAGAGAGGAATCGCTTACCAAAACAGGGCTCAAAAATAAAAGAGAGAACAACAGTTAACAGTCGAATATTGGTACCAGTTAATCGCATCGACTGGAAAAGACGTGAAATAGGACAATTGCAGTCTATTGCTCAAGTTGAAAATGTACAGCAGAAAAGAGAACCAAATTGATCCGCAGGTCATGATGCTATAGGACAAGTCTAGGCGGGGGGCAAGGAGTAAAAAACTCTGTAGGACGTTCTTTACATTAGACCCTAAACCGCCTATTTTACTATCTGCATATTGGACACCAATTGAAGCTGTTTTTGAATAACTAATACCAGTTGTTATAGAACCGCCTTGATTAAAAGTCATACCAAACGTTATTGATAAACCCAAATTAATTTGTATATTAACTGGAATAATTACAATCACAAATGTGATTGATGCTGTCGTACTTGGAAAACCAGGGGGTGCGTAACTATGCTCGTAACCATATGCACTACTTGCACTTGCGTTTAAAATTATATTTATGTCCACTGTCCCTGTGATAGCTAATATTACTTTATCGAGATGACCGTCGGTTATTTTCAATTCAAATATAAAACCAGGGACAAAGGCAAAATTACATGTTAAACAAGACAGTTCTATTAGAGGTCCAACGAATGCATATCGATTATTGGATAACAGAAATATTGGTACATTGGATATGCCAAAATGAACGCCCTCTTTAAAAAAATATCATTTTGAATTCTATGAGGTTATTAATTACAAAGTTTTATTGAAGCAAAATGCGCTAATTAAAAAATATTACTATCTAATGAGATACAGGAGTTTCTCCACAGTTTATCTAGTCAGTCTGTCCCATCACGGTTCTTATTTTTTGCTTCAAAATGGTCTATTCAACTGGATAATGCCGACTGATAGAAAAGAAGATCTGCAAACAAAACATTTCTTGTCCTTAACAGAAAAAATCGCTAGTTTAGACAAACAAACCGGGATATACACACTAAAAATAATTTGTCATATATGTCGCAAATTGCGACGACTGGTACTCGTTGCGGCACCTTTTGTCCCCTCATTAGCACTGAGGCACAAGTGCAACACTTTCTATGCTAATCAATGCAGAAGTAATTTTTTGATTTTAAGTCAATCTCGATCTCTTTTAACAATGTTTAGATGAGGAAACTCAATAGTGGTCGACCTTATTAAAAATATTTCCTGAGGAAATAAAAAATGTAGGCAAATCTCGTAGAGTCTGATTGATTCAAATTAGGGCAACAGAATTAGAAGGTGTAGAAAATGGCGAGAAAACGGAAAATAATTTAAACCTGAATTCTCGTGATGGTGAAAATTATTTTAGGGCTTCTCATTTTAGGTAAATGATAGAGAGCTCGGACTGTTTTTGTTTTGAAGTAAATATCTACGGCTAAGAGTTGACAGAACCCGATGTTTGAATTTCTGAGTTACTGATTTCTGGTGCTTAATAGAACTTCAAGGTCCGAGAAATCCTGATTTCTATAAAAAATGGAAGTATAATTTGAAAATCGGACTATGTCAAATCCTAGCAACAGGTGTTGTCTGCAAAACGAAAAAAATTATCTTTCTCCATTGTATCGTTACGGAGAAATCCTGTGCGTGGCGAAAGTCCTAAAGCTAAAAGACAGTCTTGAGAAAAACGCAGAATAAGTTTTGATTCTGTTAAATGCGTTTAACTTGAAAACTATTTGAGCCTAAAATAATTTGTTGATACTTTCTATAGGTGAGCTTTTTACCAGTGGTTTAGTCGAATAGAGCAAAGATTTCTGGTTATCGGTCATGGCGGATCTAACGAACATGTGCGCCACATGCGTGCACATATGTAAGTCTTTGTACTCTCTGAGTATAAAAATGTCACTTTTTTTGTTATATGAGTTCTTGAAAACTCGCTCAGAAACCATGAAAAACCTATCATATCGATATAATAATTATGTCACTAGAAAGCAGACACTTTGGGCTATCCAACCATGTGCTTTTCTCAAAATCGATATTTTTGATGAAAAGCTGCATTTCTAACCAGGGGGGAGGAGGGAGGTCTTAAGCCAAAACTACCCTAAAGTTCTAGAATATTTTATCATGCTAGCGGCTGGCGAAGATATCGAAGCTTATCATCAGACAGTTACTGCCCTCAGAAATAATAAGTTAGTCACAGAGTCACTATATCTTTCCTGGAAAAGTACACTCAATCTCTCGGAAATGGTTGTTATCCAGCAATGCTGGAAAAAATAAGGAAACTTGACTGCGCGACTCTCGTTTTCTCAATCCGCTGATTTTACGAGCTTTCAGCTAAGTAGATGATTACTCAGAAAGAAAGACGCTTTTTGACCTGTATCTTTCATAGTTTCAAGAAAATGTTATCAGTTTAATTTAATGTGAAATGAAATTAGTTTTGTGATTGACCAAAATATGGAAGAGATCCCTCGAAGTTCATCATCTTCCACGCAGTCTTCGAGAAAGGCGCTAGAATTTTTTCGCATTCTTCCGCGATGCATTTTTGCGACACATTATTTTTTGATAAACTATTGACATTTGATAGTTAATCTCCAACGTCCTCTCAAGCTAGAATTTCTTTAGACAAAAAGAGCTTTTGATGCATTCAATATGAACGCTCTTCATATAGCTTTAACGTGCGAGAGAGTAGAATATGTAATACGTCCTCGAAACTATATAGCGCCTCTGTTTTATACATACAGGGTTTACACTTTTTCACGAAATATTAGAGAGGTTATTTGAAATGACAGTCCATGCTAAAATAGTAGGCGCAAATACAGTGTAAAGCGTTCCCTTAGGTTTTCACAAGGAACCTTCTCTAATTGTACTCTGACAACTTTAATAACTGACTGATTAACCTTGTTCCAAATAAAGTATAGCTCAGCCAATCGCCAATCAACTCTACAACAATTACCAAGCTCTCTAAATATGACGAGCTATACAGATGGGTTATTACGCGATGAGAATAAGTTCCAC